GGTTCTCACGTTTAACAGCAAGTGTATCTAAAGCCATTTCTTCAGCTTTGGGTAGAACAAGGAAGGGTTAGGTCCCTAAGTTTATATTGCTGTCCATGTCCCCTACTGGGAAGCTTTCCCCCCCTCTGTCACCAGGACAGAAAGTCAGTGAAAATCTGAAGTTCTGACTAGTCATTGGGCCAAGAATAAAGGGAAATCTTGTTCTGGTGACAACTGTGTATGGGAGCATTTCCTACATTATGGAGGAATGTTCCTTCACTTCCTGTTGTAGCAATGGGACAGGAAGTCATGGCGAAATCTTTCAAATGGAACAGACAGAAAAAAAATATAATTCACCTGGCTGCAGAGGTCCATGCACCATAAATGCCATTGGGATCTCTGCGCCCAGGAGCCAAGCTTGTTGCATACGTCCGGCCTGTACATGTCAATTAGAGGCTGTGGCTGTACGCTTGTAAATGCTGCAAGGGGCAGGTTTCAGTTGTACACTCACGGACGCAGACAGACACATGTATACAATCTGAGCAGTGTGAATGAACCCGAACTCTACTCGATCAGTAACTAGAAAAAAAGTTTTGTCTTTGGATATACGTTACTGTACCTGTAATTGTAGTGTTGTGAGCAACAACCTCATTGTATGAAATAAAAATCAATGAGGCTCCACCCACTCTTTTTTTTTTTTTTTAACCTGTAATCATTATTATTATTATTATACAGGATTTATATAGCGCCCACAGTTTGCATAGCACTTTAAAACATAGGGAAGACATTATAATCACAATACAATTCAAGACACGATGGTAAGGAGGGCCCTGCCCCTGAGGGCTTACAATCTAAAAGGGAGGGGGGAAGTGATACATGAGGAGGTAGCTGTGTGGGGATGAATTGTTTGAGAACGTGAAGGCTGAGCGGTTAGGTTGAGGTGGGATAGGCTTCTAGTCTTAAGGGATCGCCTAAAGGCAGTCAGTGTGGTAGATAGACAGACAGGTTGGGGGATGTATTGTGCAGGCACTGCCAAGGGGGGGTTGGCTTTCAGTGCAGGATGTAAACAACGGAGGTGGGCCTGTCTGAACTCAGTAAGTACACATCTGTGAAGATGTGGTGGTGGGGATCGGTTGTGTCAGCGTAAAGTGCCATAAGGATGAGTGCACTTTGTTTTAAAGTGCACTTCTCCTTTAACTTCTTGCCTTCTGCACAATGGCCATGGTGCCAACCCATCTACCTTATAAAACATAAGATTCCGGGTGGCACATAAGATTGGATACGTTCACAAAATACCCATTGACCCTACCTCTTATGAGTTGCACGCAGTTCCTCCGATGGGGGCAGTACTGTGAGTGAGCATTGTCACCATTGACATTATCATTATCGTATTGACAAGTATCATTGGCAGGAAAAAGGTAAGGAAACCAGTGCAGAAAGAACTGCTAGGCAGCAATTGAATACATTTTTGTTCTTGGGTTTAGGTTCTCTTTAACATTTTGGCATTTTTGCAATATTTGATGCTTATGCTTTTTAGCGATAAATAAAAAAAATAATCAGTCTTTATTTTGCAATCCCTCTTTTCCACGGCATTGATTCCAGTAAACAGCGGCACAGTTATTTGTGGGACCCCAGCTCTGCCCCTGCCATTTCCAGGTACCCCAGCCCCCCGGATTCTCTGGCTAACCTACCCTCTGGCCCTAAACAGAAGATGAACCTGCGTTTCCTTATGAGGTCCATCAGCGAGATGGATGTTACTGACTCCACCTCTGAATCAATAGACAAGCCCGTTGAAAGAGAGCGGAGTGCCTCGGAGGAAGGCAGCAGCCAACTGGAAGACTTTGACAATGTGCGTTCTGAAAGCGAGGACAGCCTAGCGAAACAAATGGATGACACCGTGGGTCCTGACAGCGAGGACAGCCTAGCCAATCAACTGGATAGTGTGTCATCCATGGATGACAGCCTGCTGGAGACCAATGATAATTCTATGGATCAAGACGAGAGCATTAGTGAGGTCCACCCAGATGACCAAGATGGAGAATTGGCAGAATCCTCCACAAACAACATCAGAAAATGTACTGCAACGCATGAGGAGAGCACATCAATGGATGAGGTCAGTGCAAGCATAACAGAACGTTATTACCTACATTACTAATACATTGTTCACTTATTCTTTCCACAGTTGCCTTTTGAAACAGGTTCAGGTTTTCTCATGACCACACTGGGCATGGCACTATTAATCCAACTCATGTACTTCTTACTGCTTTGTGATTGGCTCTCTCATCAATCTGCCAACTGAAGAGACAATCCTAAATCTTTTAGGGAGTTTTGTTTTGTTTCATCATCAATAAAGCGGCCTATGGGTGACTTGCAATAAAGTAAGTTTTGATTTGGTAGGTAAGCTAGGTTTGCCTTTCTCAACCAAAGTGCCATCTGGCTTCCTCAGGGGTTCTGTGATGCAGCGTCACGTGTTTCCATGATGCAAGCGGGATCCATGCAGAATCTGTCCAGACCTACTCCACCTCCTGTCCTCTGTCATGATAACACACTGTTTTGTTTAGCACTCTGTGTGAAAGGGGCACATGCAAAAGCATGGGACTCTGGTGTGAAGAGAACAGGGACTTCTGATGTGATAGGGGGCTCCTGATGTTAAGGGAGGAACTTCTAATGTGAAAGAGGGGGAGCTTCTGAGCAGTGATGGGGGTTCCTTATGTTAAGTGAGGACTGTGATGTTAAGGGGGGCATTTCTGTTGTGAAAGGGGGCTCTGATTTGAAAGGAGAAACTCTGATGTAAGGGGTGGGGGCTTCTGATGTGAAGTGAGGACTCTGAAGTCAAGGGGCAGCTTCTGATGTGAAGTGGTGGACTTCTGATTTGGAAGCAGGGACTCTGTTGGGAAGGGATGCTTCTGATGTGATGGGCTCCTGATTTGAACTGAATACCTTGATGTTAAGAAGGGGTGCTTCTGATGGAAAAGGGGGGCTCTGATGCAAATCCCTGGCATCCCCCTTAGAATTCATACTAGGCCCCAATCTAACATAAGGCTCTGGTATGGACTTTGGCAGGGACCAGACATTATTGTTTTTACTTTTTAGACTGGGATGCCTCAGGATTTTGCATACTTTTAAATGGTGTCGTGACCAAGGAAATGGTTGAGAAAGGCTGAGCTAGGTCACCAGTTTAAATCTGAACTCCAGACAAACGCTAATTACAAGGGAGGAGAACAGAATGCACTGGCATGGTGTAGAAATCCTCCTTAATTGTACATCAGACATAATAAAGTATTTCTGTCCACACACTTATTGCACAAGTTTTTATAATGTGAGTGTAAGTAGCTGACTCCCGATCCCACCGCTCCCGTCAGGGCCGGAGCATAGGAATGCAACCTCCTCTCCTCACCTGCTGTACTCTGCCCAATGCTGTGCATTTCCTAATAACTGTCTTCAGGGACACATTTTAGGGACTTTCCCCATCCTCAGCTAAATACACAGATTAAGTACAAATAATATAGACCTAAATGGCTTCTCTACTGAAGTTTAAGTATTACAGAACTCCTCTACAAACCCAGCCCTCAGCTGCACATTGAAGATGAAGGAGCAGACTGGTCAGCTCATCTTGCAGTCAATCTGCTCTCTCCCTCTATCAGCATGTGCTAGTAATAATGTTTACAGAGCTGTATACCGTACATTTGTGTCTTTGTCAGACTTAATCTTCTTCTTTCTCCAAAACAAGTGCTATTAAATGAGCATTTACATTTGATTTGTTTTTTTCATTACTATGTTAAAAGCAACATCAACAAATGTGCAGAAACCTTCATCTGCATCATCTAATTAAAAGTAAAAGTGACATGTTTTTAAACATTCTATTTAGTTACATAGTTAGGTTGAAAAAAGACACATCTCTATGGGTTGAACTCGATGGACTTAAAGGAGAACTATGAGGTGAGTGCTTTTCACTCACCTCATAGTTCTAGCCGACCTGTGACAATGAGACTGTCACAGGTCGGCTCAGTAGATCGGGAGGTGAGCGAACACATACCGGCGTTCGCTCACCTCTCGATCTTGTCACGGCCCTCTGCCGTGACAGGGGAGGGGCTGGATTCCCCGCTCCGATCCGCCAGAGCTGACTGGCGGAACGGACGGGGGATGGGGCGGGTACAGCTGGCTCTGCCTCTAGATAGGCAGAGCCAGCTGTCAGTCACGCAGCTGGGCGGATCTGCGGCGTCTCAGTATACCGCGAGCTGTAGCTCGCAGTATACTGATCTTAGAGTGACGGGAGGACACTAGTTTGTGTCCTCCCGGTACCCTAAGGAGAACTATGAGGAAAAAGCCGTAACCCCATAGTTCTCTTTTTTAAGGGGTCTGCTGTAGCTGGAGAAAAAGCTGGTGAAGCACAATTTCTGCTTCATCAGCTCCTTTTGAGGTCTATAGGGGACCAATAGACCCCTGATGTCTTCTTACAGAGGACCTGTCACATGTTGGCCCCCTATGTGATAGCAATGAGGTGTACAAAAAATAGTCACATATAAAAAAAATATATTAAAAAAAAAGAAAATTAAACTCCCCAGCCCCCACATATGTGCACTTTCAAACCAAACAAGTGTCAGGTGCACCTAGGTGTGAAAACAATTGCACCACACCTCACATATCCCCCAGAACATAAGAGTGAGAGCAATAATTCTAGAGTCATCTATCACTGTTAACACTAAATTGATGAGCCGTAAAGGCTTTTAAATTATCGCCTATGGGAAATTTGGGGAATTGTAGATTTTTACCATTTCACGGGCACACGCAGTTTTAACACTTGACATGTTTGGTACCGTGTTTCCCCGAAAATAAGACACTGTCTTATATTTTGTTTTGCCCCCAAAAACCACACTAGGTCTTATTTTCAGGGATGTCTTATTTTAAACTGCAATTTTTACTGCAAATATTTGTAAGATATGATTTGTTGCCATTTGCCTCGGATCTCATTTCAAAAGCATCATACCGTATCTATTTACCCGAAACGACCCCGTCTTTTATATTTTACACAAGAAAAAAAAAATGGGCATTATATTCTGTTTTCTATGTACTACATTTCATTTTAGGGCATTTTTTCCTAAAAATATTGATTTGATTATGTCACACAATATTTGCACAAATTTTTTATTTTCTACAGGGCCTCGGCTTTCAGAAAACATATCATTGTTTGGGGGTTTTAAGCTGTTTTCTAGCCCACAATTCCGATATTACCATGTGTGTTCAAAAAAATAAGAGATTGCTCCGAACAGCAAGTGGTTAACATGTGCGAACATTAAAAATGTGTGCAAATATAGTGTGACATATAAACATTTAACTAGAAATGTCCTGTGAAGGTTCTCATTCATCCATCGGTAAAAAAAAATTAGTCAAGGCAACTGGACTTGCTGTATTTTTCTTGAAGACGTTTCACTGGTCATCCGACCAGCTTTCTCAATTCAGAATGACTTGTACAAAAAATTATCTGGGAATACATATGGCGAATGTTGCTCCAATCCACAAAATCTGTGCTTGTAGAAAATAACGGTTTGGGGGGTTTAAAGTAATTTTTGTATGCCAATTTTCAGGTTGAATGTTTTGTGAAATATTTTTTAAAATGTGCAAATATTGTGTAACATAAGAATTGCAACTATAGTGTGTGAGTGTGTGTATTTTATTCTACAGGGCCCCCAATTGTAGAAAATATACAATTGTTTCTGGGTTTTCTAGCCCCCTAAAAAAAAATACATTTTAGCATTAAAAATAAAAAAATTGCTCCAGGAGTTCATGTTTTGCTCCGATGACACACAATGGATTTCATAGTCCTGAATTGTCCTTTTTGATGTCCATTTTTCAGGTGTTCACTCCTCACTCTCCGTCCACCCGCCCCCAATCCTCAGCAGCCCGTAGAAGGTCAATGCGCAAAAAGAAGCTTATATCCCAGCAGCCGGTAGAGACCACGCGGGCAAGCCTTCCGTCACAGTCCGAGTCCGTGGCAGGGCTTCAAGTAGCGGGACTTGTATCTAAGCGTCTGCAGGAAGTAGAGCAACTAGGCCGCAAGTCCCGGGTCATGCGACAGGGCAACGTCGGCGAGGTGGCAGAGGAATCGTAGACCTTTTCAAGGCTTCCCTGTCTTATGGCCAGGAGATGCAGGACGCTATTTCACCTGGGCGATCATATTTTTATATTTTTGTAAAAAAGAAATTCTTTTATTTTTCCATTTCCACATCAAGCAGACAGCGGAAGTTTGGGAAGAAGTGACTCAGGGACGGTATTCACGTTTTATACCTGGTTATTCGTAAAACATGTTTACTTTATATGTCATAATATTCTTTTTAATTAATAAAATGGAGTCGGCTGTGTCTTTGCAGACCACGCATAGCTGGCACAGTGTCAATGGCATACATCTACCACCTACATAACGGCAAATGTTACTGTCTTTCGCACACACTGGCACACATGATCATACCCATGATGATATTTACAGTCCTTTGCTACAGGTTGTTTCTACTCTTGATCTATACAACCTGTCAGATTCAAATTGTCGTCCTCCTGTACTGCATTAGTATAAAGGCAGACTGAAGCAGAGTGGTTGCTGATAGGATTTAAATGTGTCCATCCAGTCCTGCCACACGGCACAGCCCTGTCTGGCAGGGCCGGAGACCTGATTTTTCTCTGCTGCATTTCAGCAACACTTACAGGTCTTGTCCCTCCCCCCAGCCTGTGATTGGACAATGAATATAGAAGCAGCAGACTGATGAGCTCATCTCTTTGTCACTCTGC